CCCTGGATGTTTTTACAGACTGGGGAATGAGCTGCTGGAAAGCAGTGCCATGGAAAGGGATCTGGAAGTCCTGGTCAATGGCAAGTTGGATGTGAGTCAGCAGTGCCCTGGCAGCCAGGAGGGCTAACCCTGTCCAGGGGGGCATCAGGCAAAGCATCATCAGCTGGGCAAGGGAGCAGAGCTGCTCTGCTCTGCACTGGGGCGGCCTCACCTTGAATATTGTGGCAGTTTTGGTCACAGCAATATAAGAAAAATATTAAGCTATTAGAGAGCATCCAAAGGAGGGCAATGAAGATGGTGAAGGGTCTTGAGGGGAAGCTGTGTGAGGAGTGGCTGAGGGCACTTGATCTATTCAGCCTGGAGAAGAGGAGACTGAAGGGAGACTTCATTGCAGTTACAGCTTCCTTGTGAGGGGAAGAGGAGGGACAGGCACTGATTTCTTCTCTTTGCTGACCAGTGACAGGACCAGAGGGAATAGCCCCAAGTTTTGTCAGGGGAGGTTTAGGTTGGATGTTAGAATAAGGTTCTTCACTCAGAGGGTGTTTGGGCACTGAACAGGCTCCCCAGGGAAGGGATCACAGCACCAAACCTGAGAGAGTTCAGGAAGCATTTGGACAGTGCTCTGAGGCACATGGTGTGACTCTTGAGATGGTCCTGGGCAGGGCCAGGAGTTGGACTCGATGCTCCTGATGTGTCCTTTTCAACTCAGAATATTCTGTGATTCTCTGAAAAGTTTCCTCAAAAACTAAATAAAACTTTGAACAAGCATTTATTTTTCTCCATCTGAGAGTAAGATAATGTCTTGTAAGTAAATCTTCAGACAATTCTCTCATTCTTTTTCTCCTTTTTTTCTTTTCCTTTCTTATGCTGTTTTTTTACAAGACATAGGGTACAAACTATTTAGAGCCATCCATCATTTGTAGATTCCTTTCAGGATAATTCATAATTATTTTCAATTCTGTAATCCAGCTTTTGTATTTGTTGCTGTGACAAGGTATGTTTACCAAATGCTGTGGGGCATCACCTGATATCTAGCCAGATGAAGAGCCAGACTCCTTCATTTGTTGTTACAGAACTCCCAGTTTCCTGCCCAGGGTCTTCACTTTTTTGCACATTAGAGCAGGCCTATGTGC